TTCAGTAATTCCTCTTATCACAAGCAGCCTTTGAGTAATATCTAATACAATCACCTGGTACTCAGAGGAAAAGGTTTAGTAAGTAGGACCGAAACCCAGCAATTTCCTCCTTCACATATACTACTGGGATTAATGCATAAATGAGTTTGAACTAACAAGGTATTAAAGAAGAGAAGCAAAAATATGCACTGACAGACAAAAAAAATGGGGAGCTCTCATTCTCCACTGCTGTGTACTTAACAAAGACTTTACATTTTCAGTATTGTAAACTGCAGATACTCAAAACCACTGATCAGATGCCAAAAAAACCCCACCCCAAAACCTTAGCTATCACAACATCCTCAAAATACAATTACTTACATTTTTCACCTGCCTCCTGATTCTTACTCTCCATCCCAGGAAGACTGAATTCAAGCGTGTTTGTCTCAAGCTTGCAATTCAACTTAGCTGCAAACACACATGCAGTTGGGTTTTCCTACTTGCTGTTCGAAAGGGATGGGTGTAAGCACCTTCCCACTCCTTTCCAGCTTCTGAACATTGCTTTAGTCTTGTTCAGGTGTGCTCTCACCCCTTGCATTTTCTTCCCTTTCCCATCAGTCTCATGCCCAGGACATTGTCCTGCACTCGCAGTTCCTGTCATATGTCTTTGCACCACTCACAACCTGACTCCTACCCACACAGTCCTCTCTCTGTTGCCCTCCATCTCACTCCCCACAATCTTCTGCCCTCCCTTAAAGTTTTATCCTATGTGTTAACATAGCCCTGACCATCCACTCTGTCCTGGCCTTCTTCATTCACATTGTACTCTCCCTGCCCATCCTACAGAAGCAGCTGGAATGAAAAGGTCATAAATTCCATTGAGGGAAACCTTGCTTCCCTTCATATGAAAACTGCGTCAGTCTCAGTGTGAGAAGTTTCTCTTCTATTTGTAATGAGAAAAGACACGTTTAGTGCTTTGCTGAAAGCAGCAGCAATCCCATTCCTAATAACGGGAAGCTGGAAGACATTTTAGAAAACCAGGGGAGCAAGTGAAGGAAGACATAAAAAAATCCATAGACATTTAGGAAAAATGAGTATTGTAGTGTGTCCTCAAAAATAACAAGATATGGTCCTAGAGAATCCAATGAAAGCAGCTATAAAGTATTAAAATCCTGGAATTCTCCACTGGTAACTGTGGCTTACATCATTTCACTGATGTAGAAATGACTATATAACTGCACAATATAGTGAAAATGTATTCTTCATTGCCTAATTCCTTTCCCATCTATAAAAACTCACACAAGCATGCCATGTCAGAACAAGGATTCTAAGTTAAGGCAATATAAAGTTACTGTTTTCTTTAAATGCCAGTAAAAGGCAAAGGAAAATGGATTGTCCTGAATCTTTATGAAACAATCCTTCCACTGATCCATGTCTGTTCAAGACATAATTTATGGCATTGTCTTTAAAACATTTCCTCTGTGGTCATTATTGAAAGGTTTGAAAGAACATAGTCAACCTCAAATCACACTTTTTTCTGAACATATTTTTCATCTAATAATTGGGGGATATTGTTTTTTTAGTATGTTGACTGCAGATCTGAGTGTAGACCAGTCACTATTTTTCACACACCTCCTTACACATTTTGTATATTCCATCGAAGAGGGAGTGGGGGTGAAGGTGGAAGGGGTACATGGCCTAGGGAAAAACATAGTACCAGAAAGTACTTTCAAATTCCTACTAGTACTTGGAGTAGACATGTAGGATGACAATATCCTTCAATCAGCAGTCTGAAAAAATTTGTTGGGATTAAATTAGCATCCTGTGTGCTGCTGGGCTAAGTAGTGTTCCCACACACAAAGTTCAAGAAGATTAGATTTATGAACACACATGAAGGCTAAGGGATAGGATGTTCTTCCCACAGGAATACCAACAAACCAACCACAAGATGTCTGTGGTTACTGTCTTGTACTTACGCTTTCCTCACAGAAAGGAGAAACCAGTGAGCACAGATGAGGAAAGAGGCAGACAGAGCCCAGATCTATGGAGGGCTTTCTCGAGTCACCACTCCCTCAAAAATCAACAGGGAACGTAAAGCAGAGTGAAGTGTAGTCTGATTAATCTATTCCATTGATGATTATCCAGACACATTCATTTTGAGTTGAATTTCCAAGCAATTGTAAGGTTTATCTAGTTTAATGTGAGACTTGTAACACCCGGATCCACAGGGAAGCCTGTTTTTTAATTAAGAGCAAAGATCAAGCAAGAGAATTTGAATGTTCAACAGCATCTCAGTATTCAAACCTCCAGCTATTTCCTCGCTTTAATACTGCAACTGTTGGTTTTCCAGGCTCTCACTCTCCCAACAGTCTCCATTCAAGCCTCTCCCAAATACTGGTGACATTGCTTTGATTCTTCTTAAATCTTGGCTTTCACACTGAACTCCAGTTCTCCAACAACTCCAGGGTGTCAGAAGGTATCTACTAATACAATGTTGTTAATACCCAAATATTTTACATGTTGTCAGTTTGATAAACGTTTTCCACATCCAAGGTAGGATGTTGGTGAAACCACCCATAAACTCTGGAGGTAAGCCTGGCTCTCCAGGGACTCCTCTCGAACCTCCCCAGAGCCAGGGCCTGCAGGAAACTCAGGTATGGGACATACCTGACATCCAACAGTTAGTATCTCTGAGCTGGGATTGGGAGCTTCCAATTCATAAGACATTTAAAAATTGAAAAAGGATCCATTTAGGTATGGCACACCCCTCTCACCTGTGCATCCCTCCCTTGCTTGTGAGAGCACAAGTGTTGATATTGATTTATTGTGTCAGACCTGGGAGCTACACAGTTGAGGTTATAAGTTGCAGCTTCTTAAATGATATCTCAGCCTCAGATTTTGCATGTCTCCATTAGGCAAAAAAAGGGTTATTGGTTTTAGGATTAGAACACAGGCTTATTCTTCCAGCTTGTTATTGTTCCACTGTGCAACATTTCTTCTGTCTGTTTTGGTGTGGAAGCTTTACTTAGATTCTGATACACATTTTGGGAAAAAAGAGTGCTTCTCCAAAGAGAAGAGAATATTAGAATTATTTTTTCTGCTTTGACAAACCAAACCTTTTCAATTCACAGTTATCGGATGTGCAACTTGTTTCCTTTGTTTTCAGCTGCAGTCAAAGAGGTCGTTCTTCTCCAGGGTCTGAAATCCCCTTCTGGGAATTCACAATGTTATACGATATTTTGTTAAAGCAGATCTGAATCACAACACGTTGGATTTTAGGGCACTTCTTTCTCAGGTTCTCTCTCCCTGTGTGCTTGCCCTTCCTCTCCTTTCCTTGTCTCCTCTCCAGGCTACATCCAGCAGCAGCTATTATCTCCCCTTTACCCCAGCAGCTGTTAGGCTTTTGATGTATTTGCCCTCATTTTTGCACCCCTTGTCTCATCCCAGCTGCAGTCTGGATGAGCAAAACTGCTTTGGTATGCAGCGTAATAAGTTCTTGTGCTGTCTAGATATTGCAAATAGCTTACTTTTTGTCTGTATTCCTGCTAAGAAGGGTAGTGGATGAACAGGATAAGTAGTCATTTGCACTGCAACAACAGGCTGACGGTTATGTAAAATACTTTCATGTGCAATCTCCTCTTATCCTCTGCTGGTTCAGAGGAGTATTATGGGCAGATTCAGCATGCAGGCTCTTGCAAACTCATTTTCATAAACTGGGGCACTGCTAAGCATAAGAGAAGACCAAGACCAAGGTTGCTCTGTTTCTTCATCCCCAGCATTTACCTTTTCTTTCTCCTTAATCTCCTGTCTTCAGCATCTGCCATTTAAGCCCGTGGGATAAGCACAAGACCTCTTAACTGAAGTGCTTCTACAAATACTGGTACAAATCACCTTGCAGAGGCTACTGCAGAGTGACAAGGCCTGCTGGCCAGATCAGTAGGAGTTGCTTTAGCATTATTATTCTAAAATGGGATTAGTTAAGTAACTCTATAGCCCAATTCAAATCCTGAGCCCAATTCACTTTTCTAAGCTTCCCACTTCAGTATACCAGCTAAATGCCCCTCATTAGACTTTCAATTGAACATTTTTTGAAAGGCTTTTGACTCAGTTCTGGGATGATTCATGGCATTCAAGAGAAAATTAATACAATGACCAACTCACTGTAACCATACACACAAATGTTCAATCAGCTTCTGGAAACCAGCCTTGATGCTCCTTATAGAAGCAGACAGCTATCCTATTGCACAGAGACAATTTACAGTCACAAGGAACAATGTTTTCATACTGGTAAATTATTATATGTAAAAAAAGAGATTACTTTCATCCAAATATAAATATTCAGATGCCTTCATCTAAATGAAAATCTATTTTTCATTAGGATTACCAGATGAATTTAATTTGGATTAAAATTCATGCCTGGTTTTTATTAATATACATCTGTTAGAGACCTATCTAGTCGCATAAGGAGTCCAGTTTGTCATACTATATACTGGAAGGATAAAAATTGCTGTGTACTAATATTCAGTGAAAAAGCACTAGTAACAGCTTGAAATATTAATAAATACCAAAATATCTCATATAAATAATGGTCTTTTATGCACTACTTAATTTTGTAGTTCTTATAGTGATTTTTACCTTTTAGAAGTACTTTACATTTATGACTTTAAAATTGTATCCCTTTTCAAAGATTAATCCTGTTTATTTTAATTTAAATAGCTATAAAATTACTATGCAAATATTATATTTTTATTTAAATACTGTCTGCTAAATAACAGTGCTCTTAATTCAAAATAACTTCAACATTCAGGAAGGTCATTCTGCATCTTCAATAGCTATCCCCAGAACAGTTAGAAGACTCTGAACGTCTTATTCAGAAATATTTTTTGCACTCTTTACTGCAGTTCGAATCGTCTAGGCAAAGGACAGTAGACTTATTCTGATGTCTCTATGTGTCTGACATCCAAACATGTTCTGTTCTAGTGCATTCACTCCAATGTTATCATTCATTCTTTCCTACTCACCCCCGAAGTAAGAGCCATCTGTCAGCTTCAGCTCCTTGTTGGACTTGGTGATGACACCAGCAACACCATGCTGAATGAAATACATCTTTTTACCCACAGCCCCTTCTCGGATAATATAATCTCCAGGTTGGAACACCTCAAATCGCAGTTTGCTTAGCATAGCAGTTACAAAATTTGGGTCTGCATTAGCAAAAAGAGGCATTGTGGCAACCAGCTTCCGACAATTGAAGTTGACAATCTCCTAAATGGGAAGGAAACATAATGATAGTATTGGTGAGCAAATATTTACAATATGATTGGCATTGAAAAAAAAATTTTCTGCTTTCTTCACAAAGAAGTTCTTTATGCTCATATTGGACTTTTCTGTGTTTCTTTCTGTGCCTATTTTTTTAATCTTTTCATTATATGTATGGAAGAGCTGAGACTAATCAGTATTACAAATGGAGTGGGGCTCAGGCAGGCAACATCTACTGAGTTAGCAACCCAAACATTACAGTAAGAGCATATATGATCATCTGTCTATAAATGCACAAAAAGCAAACAGAAGAAAAATACAACCAGCAGTCACCTAACTGCTTTGGAAAACTAAATATAATTTCATTGTCAGTGGAGTATGTCTAGCATTTCTTACACTAAGACAAGGCTTTCTGATTGGTGTAAAGAAGACATCCCACCTACCAGTTCTCTCACCACACTGACTGCAGCCCATTGCACTCCTGCTGGAAGTTGCTTTTTCAACCTCCCATGCATCTGCTGTCTCATACTTACGTATCTCATATATCCCATGCAGCCAGCTCTCTGGGTAGCAAGCTCAGATATACCTGTCCACAGTTCAGACAAATTTCTTTCTTCTCCTCCCACCCCCACCATGTGATATCCTGCTTACAAAAATGATGCAGAAGTTCAGCTAATTCCACAGTACAAGCAACAAAACCATAATGGGTTCTTCAAATCAGTCCCTTGCATCTGGAAGGAGGTGGGAATCTCCCTTTGAAGGGAAGCCATTGGCTATTGAGGCAAATAAGAAGCACGAGCATGATATAACAGTGAAGAAACAACTGCCTTTCCTAGAGAAATTACATCCTTTCAAAATAAAGCCAGTGGAACCTGGAAAAATAATGTGAAAGAAGATGTCTCACCAGGCACCTGGGAAGCAGAAAGCTGTTATCTCCAGCAATGTCTTATTTTCCATTAAAGGATAAGAAAAACAGGGAAAAAATACTTCCTAGTGCTAGTCCTAGGATAGATTATGACATCTTCTTACAGTCCTGCAAGAAAATGTCATTATATAATGGCAAGGTGGAAATAGAAGTGCCTCTAAGCAGAGATGAACATTGATTCTTAACAACGGTCAGTACAGCAATTCTCTTTAACCCTGGTCTCAATAGCACCACATCTATATACTTAGATAAACACTACATAAGCCTTTTCCCCCCTCTCCTCTTTTTTCCTTCTGGAATGAACCAAGGACATATAAAAAAAAATATATAATTTTATATAATTATAATTTAATGCAGATTTAATTCTAGAATTATTGGGTTAAAGGTAGAGTTAATGAAGAGTAACATGGTACATCTTTGAAATCAAACACTAAAGTCCAATTGAATTAGTGGGGATATGATTCCACCAAGAACATTTTATCTGAGAATTATTTATAAGTGATGGAAATAGAACACTCCTCTTCCATCACTTTTCACTGTACTGCCTCACTCTCCCTCACCCTCTCTGATTGCCATAACTTCCCCTTCTTATGACTGTTTTGGCATGCCTGAAATACTGCACCATGTATGGACTCCATGGCTAATCAGAAATGGGCTGGATTAAGACAGCAGGAGTCAGACCTCAGACCAAGAGCAGACTTCTTCGTGTTTGCATGAAACTTGAAATGTACAGGAATATATGGCAGAAATGGAAACAGAAAAGGAGGAAAAGAGCACTAGGGGAGACTCCTAGTCTCCTAGTAATGACTGGGAGACTCCTACTTATAGAAAGGAAGAGCAGTTTGACTATGACTCCCACCCAGCGCAAGCAAAGACATGAATGCTACTGGTGCAACACTGGGACAATACTATCCACACACATGACTTCAGAATCAGAGCTTTAAAAACCCTCACAAACAAGTCATGCTTGTAAAAACACATGGAAAATTTGGTGCAAGATGTGGCGCTGTTTGCCTGAATCGAAAAAATAATCTCAAACAGCAGCACTGCAAGGTGTGAACTACCAAGTAGGTGTCGTTGGCATTCAAGATCAGTGAATCCTGCTGAGTCATTAAGTCAAGAGCAGTAATCCCAGGCTACACCTTCAAGTATATTTTGTATGAAAGCATAAATGTTAAAAAGAAATTCCAGCTGACTGTCTAAAGGATGAGGAAAAGCCTGTTTTCCTTCTTGTCTAAACACTCCATTTCTCAGTAAAGCTTCAGCCACCACTTCGCTCCCAAGGGAGAGTTATTCTCTGCTCCCACTGCTCGCAGTATGGTGGCATCATGCAAGGAGTCCCAGACTACATCCTCAGCTCCGTATGAGACTGCCTTACTGCAGTCTCAGCTGATGCTGGAAAGCTGGCAATCACTATTACTCGTCTTGCCTTGCTCAGGGACTTTTCAGTAGACTTGCTGCTTGTTTTCTGTTTCTGAAAGTAAATAGCTTGTCTTGCATCCCCAGGAGGCAGAGAAAGGAAATTACTAAGAAGCAAAAATTGACTGGAAATTATGTAGAAGCTGGTGGGGAGGCACAGAAAAGGCTGGGCGAGTGGAAAGCTCAACTCCAGTGATGATGAGGAAGAAAGAGTAAAATAGACCTAGGTTGAGTAGTATTAAGAGAGAGAGAATGGGAGGAAAACAAAAAGAAGGAACACAAAGACCTAGAAGAAAGGAAAAAAACAAGGCAGGAAGGTTGACTTTAAAAACAGATAAACTGAAAGTCCTGACGAAGTGAGAGCACGGGAGCACAAAACCTGGTGAAAAGGTGTCTGGAGTGAAAGCTGAGAAGTAGGACAGATGAAGAAAGCAAAAGAGAAATTGGAAAAAAAAAAAGACAAATGACATATCTCAGTAGCATTGTAGGACACCATGATATAGGCAGAGGGGAGAATTCAGACCTGCATTACTCCGCTTCGTAAAACCAGTCCAACCCAACCAGAAGGAAATTCATCTCGTCTTGGAAATACCAACAAAACACACCCTTGTCTCAGGATTTTCACCCCTGGAATGTCATGTCTCCATCTTCTTCCCATCTTTCTCTCTCAATATGTAATTTATACCTGGATATATCCATGTATATGCACACACAGGTTACCTGCTCAGCCTAAGTTGCCTAATAAAGGTACCAACATAGCTACAAAACCACTCTGCTGTGGTAATTTCAGCTGTTATATCCTAGCAATGCATTCACTTTGTTGATTAGTTTTTTGTGAAAGTTTATACTAAAGTACAAACTTTCCTTATTTAAGACTTTAGAAGGTGGAAAATTACTGAGGGAGAAAGAAATGTGTCATTTTTAAGTGCTTTGTTTTTCTTTAAAGTGTTCTTTTATTTAAATATGAGATCATTCAGAGCAAGTAAAATACATTTCCTTAAGTCTTAATCACAGGCAGTGCTGCAATTTCAGATTCTTGTGTATTACTTTAAATATCATCTTGGGGAGAAAGAAACAGTAAAGATTATGAACTTGTTTTATGTAACTCAGAAAGTACTAGGAGAAATTGTTCTGTGTTTTAAAATAAAGGTAACAAAAGAACAAACTGCCAAATTAAAAGTTGACATTTCATGCAGAGAAAAATCTTTCACTTATATTTTCTTTGAGTTAATTCTTTGGAGCCAGACTGGAACCAGATTATGCTGCCCAATATGATATCTTAATTAAATGAAATAATAATGATTGTGTCTCACCTCTACATAAAGAAAATAACAAGTGAAGCCTGAGGAAAGGATTATATTGCTGAAGTGGTTAAAGGGCAAGAGTGATTCAGACCTACATGGAGCAAGTGTTGTTCTAGTTCAAGTATCAGTCTCTTACGCAAGAACTAAGTCAGAGGTACAATGGTCTGCTTTATATAAGAGATTGGTTAGGTAATTACACTGGCTCCTGCTCCTTTATAGTGTACTAGTTCTATTACTCATCTTGGCCTTCCTGTCTATTTTTTTCAAACTGATCTTAAAGCATCAGATATGATCATTTTGTGTGGGTTCAATATATCTGGACGACTGCTCCGATGCATCTCAAGATGGCCCATTTACAAAGGCAGCTGCAAGGCTCTCCTAGCTAGCTGTGACTGCGGCGCAACGGTGGCCAACTTCTCCAATGGCATCTATAAGGGTTTGTAGGACCTTTCCTCAGGAGAAGATTTTTAGATAGAGGTACTGCTTTTAATTAGACTGACAGGAAAAAGCTGTTGCTAGAAAAAAAGCAGAAAAAGTTCTTGAAACATCTGTATGTCTGAAAGATTCTTTGCTTTTTCCCACAAGTCCAATTCAGCTAATAATAGGTACTACTTCCATCTACAAACTATGTCTTTCTTATGTGTAGGCCACCAAAGTCCGTTTATTACACTGAAAAGTAGCTTAGTTTCATTAGGTCATTTCTACATACTATTGTAAAAATCTAGTGCATAACTTGAACAATGCACATTTTTCTCCTGAGTGTCCTCCTTTACATTCTGCTTTCAAAGGATAAGAAACTAAATCTGTCTTAATTTCCTGACCATTGAAAGGAACAAATCACTTTATTGAGAAAGCTATTTTTCCTCTTAGAAATAACTCACAGAAGAAAAATTACCAAGCAAGTGATTAAGAGAGAACTATAGGAAAAAGCGTGGTATTTAGGGATTTGGGGCTGTATGAGCAGGTTAAATATATTTAAACTAGGGTTTAAGGAGTCGTATTCTGTATGTGTTCATGATTTCCTGTAATTTTTTAATCCATTGGTCAATTATAGCCAACTTTGGCAGAAAGGTGGCATCTCACTAAGTTCTCATAGGTTTTATGACAGTGGGCAATCAGGAGGACTAGGATTAGTACCCCACTGAGGGAATGACTACATCATTAGCTCACAACTTGTTTAATGCCAGAAAATCTACATGTGGCAACAGGATGCAATATTCTTCATTTCTGGTGCACCTGAAATTGTTCAAATTGCTTTGACACATTCTGTTTAATCAGCTACACAGAGTGTATGACTTAAAATAAATTTTGCTCCCAGGCTTTCATATAAATAATAGTGATTATGTACATTTTCCTCT